TAATATCAAATTGTTTTTTATATAGGAAATCAAGTATAAAATTCAAAGTTAACAAAAATTATAATGTTGTTTATATTATTACATGTTTAATCACAAACTAAATATAAGAATCATTATTCTTAAAAGAATGTCTTACAAATTGGTTTGATAATTATATAACAAAAATTTTATTTTGTTAAAAAATTACATACTTTTGAAATTAAAATAAATATACATGAATATGTGAGAAAGAAACAAACATCCAATGTAAAATAATGAAGATGGTTTCTTTAGCTTGATTTTCTTATAACCATAAAATATTATTATACATATGTATTACATTTAAAAATATAAAAAACAATGAAGACATAAAGAAATACATAAAAACAAAAAATAAATAAAATTGAAAACAAAAGTTTAAACTAAATAATTAATCAAACTCTTACAATGATATTTTAAATGATTTTTCACCCCATGCAAGAACTTTAAAAAAGAAAACAAAGAGAATAATGAAGATATGAGATATGGTAGAGAAGGATGTGAAAATGGCTATTTATATGATAAGAAGTGATGTAAGTTACATTTTTAAAATAATTAAATTAGAGTAGTTATAATTATAATTTATAGTGTGTTTATTTGGAATTCAATAAAGAAAACCAATAGTCTTTGGAAATTTATATAATTTTCAGTTTCATTTTAGTAGTAAAGTGTGAATTTAAAGTATTAATTAATGTATATGATTAAATGTGTTTTTTTGGTTAAAAATAATTATTATATTTTAAAAAATAAATACAAAATATAACAATAAAGAGAGTGGAACCTTACTTTTATATATATGATTTTAAATAATTTTCCATCTATAAGCCTTATAAAATTTGTTGTATGATATATGATTAAGGCCTTTCATTTTTTTTGCCATTTGATTATAACTTATAGTGTAATTAAATTTTGTATTGAATGATTGTCATAAACATTTATTTATTTATTTAAAAAAAATTAAAGCCTTAAATATTTTTCCACCAATAAGGAGAGAGTGAAACCTTACTTTTATATATGATTACCAACATAGTACTTACTTAAAGCCAAATATGCAAAAACCAAGTCTCATATTTTTATATAAGGGAAATTGTAAGTCATAGCATCAGTTGACCATTTTATTAACTAAATGTCACTGATCTTTTTTTAATTAGGTGGATATTTTTTTGACGATTTTAACCCTACACACTTGTTACATTGAATTTTTTTGGAACAACAAAACGTGTTGTGGGCCATGATAAAGATGATGTGGTTGACGAAACTGATGACGCCGAGATTAGCTGATTTAATACGTGTTACCAGATAACCAAATCAG